CCCCCCCCCATAGTCGGAGAGGTTCCACTATGGTCTCTCTGATTCCTTGGCATTTGTCCGTTACACGAGAGTCTGTCACGAAGTCATGGCATTGAGTACCGACACCAAACAGGACAGGTTCAGCGATCTACTACGTTTAGCTCGGAACATAGGTAGCTTATCTGATCACCTCATTTTGGCTTTTGAACTCAAAGCGGTTTTTTAAACTGTGGGTGAGGGTTGAGGTTGTTGTGTAGTGCGATATGATCCAAAACTCAGAAAAGAAAATTTTAACTCATCCTGCTGCTTGGAGAAGTCAAGTCTCAGAAGACTGTATGTCGTTAGGGTCCAAAACAGTGAGAATAATCGCTCGCATTTGCAAATCTGTGATTCATGTCGTTTGCAGTGCGAAGTAATGGGAGAGCCTATTGAGAGTACTTGCTTTCGATGTTCACCAGTGACAGGTCAAATGCTATGCCATGCCGTGTAACCAACGGATTGAAGTGATAGTGCGGGCCAGCAGGAGTGCGAGCACAGGAGGCTTCCTCCTCTCTCTCTGCAGAAATCCTCGTCACCCATTGCAAGGTGAAACATGAGTTTACAACAGCCCACTAGGCTGCAACTACTGCTGGGTCTTGGTAGCGTAAGTAAATGCTTTGCAAGCTCGTACATAGAGAAGACTAGTGTGCACACGGTCCATTATTAGTTGACAGCAATTGTGACAAAGATGAATCAGGCAAGTACATGTTATGAGGACATAAACGCAGCGGAAATCAAGCAAAACCGCAGTGACGGAATATGCTATGTTCTAGATCTTGAAGTCAAAAGCCAGCTGAAAGTAATACCAGATTGATCTCATTTGTGATGCACTGTCGGTGTGTTTTTGAAGTAAAACCAGAGCTAAAATCTGTGTTCATCGATGCGTCTTGTACCCTGCACTAGTAACATTTTCACTATGCATTATTTGATAATCAGGCGTTTTTGTAACGAATTAAACTGGGCACATCGCGCCGCGAGGGGTACAGCACTGGGTTCGTGAGTGAGTGTGTCTGTCTCGGATTGTTAGCAGGTTTTCTGGCACCAGTGCAGAAAGAAATCCGCCAAAGAGTAATAGTAAAGGGTTTAGTGCTACACTGGCTGAATTACCAACAATACTGCGTTCAAAAAAGTATGGCGTGTGAACAGCAAGGTTAACAAGCCAATAGCAAATAGCACAAGGCTTAACTCGACCGAGGTCCACTTGCTCTGTGTTACCTGAAGGCACAAGAAATCACAATTGAATTGTGTGTTATCGGACTAGCATGCCTATCTACTACTGTTAGGCTAGCCTGGTGACTCTCAGGGGAAGGCTACTCTAGTGGTAAGCGCATCAGCATACTAATAGAAGCCCATCAATTAGCGTATCACGCATACCACAGTTCCCGAGGGTTTGCACTTCAGAAATTTATAGAATTTGTTCCTGTTATTAACCTCGGCGGGCCGCGCATGAGCAGACGAGGTTACAGTCACTTGGTCTGTCCGTTCGTCGTCCCGTCCACCGGTTTTCTGCCCACACGCGCGACCAAAACAGGTAAAAATAAGAAACCAACGGGTTCAGCGCTAAACCCGTTCATTTTTTAAAATGGCGCGAATTTTGTAAACGGCCACATTCAAGTTATGGCAGAAAAGAACGTGACCAAGCCAATATGCAAAAAGCACAGGCTTACCTCGACCGGGGTGTCGCTGCTCTGTGTACCTCGGAAGGCGCAAGAAGCACAGCGAAGGGCGGTTATCAACTCCCCCATGATTAGTCTACTACTGTAGCGGGCCTGGGTCAGACTCTCGCGAGCGTACTCCACGAGTAACGCATACATACAAATAGCCCAGCCCATCAATGAGCGGTACCGCAGCCAAGTGCGCATGTTCGCCGAGGGTTTGAACTTAGTGTTTTTCATTACATTAGCAGTACATTAAATGGATGTGGGGGAAGGGGATTTGGAGATAGAGGACATATAAAGGTAATCCCAGACATTCAGTGAAGATTTTGGGCAAAAGAAGTCAGTATACCTCCTTTGCCGTTTGGACAACACTGTTTTATATTTGAACTCTTCTCGCAAACAGGGTATAACAATCATATTTTAAACAGCTAGCTTGGTTCCAGTCGGATGTGACTATATGTTGTCAAAGTGAAGTGGTACGTTTATTTAAACCTAAAAATAGTAAGTGTATGAAGGTGAATATAACATATGTTGTATGAGCAGAGGTCGCGGATGTGGGATAAGTCTAGGTGTGTGTTTTTGTGTGCTTTGTAACAACCCATTCTCAGTACATAACGTGTTTTGCAGTTGTGATGCATGGGTGTTGGTTTTAAAGGGACTCATATTAAACCACGTGCTTTGCTGTTGGAACACGTTCCCTCTTTCTCCACTCCCCCCAAAAAAAAACTACGGGGTTTTATATGAGTGCATGCTTACGCTAAGGCATCGGATTGTTCCCCTGGTCAGTCCCCCCTTTTTTTGATGGAAAAACCGGGCTTAATGGCCATCAGCTTGAATTGTGTATCGAAAACCACACCACCTACAAACCAGTTACCATTTTTTCATGTTACAGGCGTTGTCAGGCTTTGTTTGGTACTTCATAGTATACAGCTGCAATTCCATTTTATCGCACTTTAAGGGGCATTTTAAATGAAAAACATGTGTGGTATGTTTTTGTATACTTGTGTTCGTCAATTGTACATTCACATGTGGGCCTAAAAGAGGCCCGTTGTCCTTCCTTCCGTCGTCTGCTACCACAATTTCCCACTACGACGACAAACAAAAGAAAGAGCAATAACAACAGGTTAACACTGACTGGCTTAAATTGCAAAAGGACTGCATCGGTGTTAGGCTGAAAACATAAGTGAACAGCCAGATGCAAAATAAAACAGGTTAACCCGACCAGGCCACCCTTTCTTGCGTACCTTTGAGGCACCAGAAGTTCTAACACAGCGGCGTCTTTAACTCCATATGTACGTGTGGTAGTGTAGCTAGCCAGTAGTGTTACTCTCAGAGGGCTGTAGAGACTGCAACAACCAGCACAACCAAACCCACAATTAGCAGTAAGGGCCTGAAAATATATGGGTGTCAACACACACACACGTGCAGTGAGCTGAGGGTTTAAAAACTTAGTCAAAATTTGGTATTCACTAAGTACGGTAGAAAGAGGGTGTAGGGTGGCGAAGAATTATGCGGGAACAGAGAAAAAGAGTGAAGCCGGAGAACCGGAAGAGCAGCGGGTAACGTACCCCCCCCCGACACGCAAAGGTCGACACCCCGTATGGGTTAGGGTATGGTGGTTGTCGTGTGCTACGGGGTTGTTTTTCAGCTGGCGGGGTCCGAGGGAGTAGGTGTCCGCTATGTTGCTCATTCTCTCCGCTGCCCCGGCCGACCCACTGCGGGGGATTGTTGGTTGGGAGTGAGGGTGTGATCGTAGCCATCCACTCGATCTCCCCTCGCATCTCACGTCCCTAATTACCTCGCACCACACCCCGATCCCTCCTGGCTAGCCTCCCACTCTGTCTTCTCCAGAGGGTTGTGGGATGTTTGAGTTCAGGGGTATGAGGTTTTGTCTGTTGCAGCTTTCTTGGTTTGTTTGTGAGTTAAGTTGTTTGGGTTGTTTTGTTGTGTGTTTATTGTGTGGGTGTTTGGTTTGTTTTGTTTCTTTGTTCTGTTTTTGTGTTTGTTCTTTTGTTCTCTTCTTCTTCTCCTTCTTCTTAGATTGAGCGAGCGTAACTTAAAACGCAATAACATAATTATAATAATGAAATTTTGTAGGAAATGTAGATACCGCACCCGAAGAGACTGGTCATACTTATTTGTTTGTAGTTAAAATTGCCCCAGGCATACATTTTAATGGACATACATTATAAAGGGAATACTGCATGTGTCGGTATAACTCACATTGGTAAGAGCTATGGGAACTAAGTTTGTGTACATAATGTAATGAATAGCCAACATGAAGATCACAACAATATGCTTGTAAATAACAACAATAGCCTCAGGCACTTTTCTTTAAATCTACTTCTTCACTTTTCAAACTTTCCAATGTAGCGCGCATAGAGATGAACTTGGTACGTATGCCTATATATCATTTCCATGACAATTACATGTTTCCATGACGACCCTACTATTGTTTGAAAAAGCTCAGGCAATTTTTTTTAAGATTACTTCTTTACTCCTCAGACTAGCACGCATGGAAACTTGGTGCGCATGTGTATTACATCGTTTCCATGACAACTAGCCTCAGGCACTGTTCTTTAAAATTACTTCCCAATGATAGCACGCATAGAGATGAAACTAACACGTTGCACGCTTTCATTGCGTTCACCCGCAACGTTGTTTACGCGGAATTACTATTTTTAATTTGCGTGTGCGCACACGCCCCGCCCCATTTTTACGGGAATTTCTCTCGCTGGAGGTCGACGACTGCTACAAAGTTACAATAAAACACATAATGTGCATCCTATCGTTCTATACGAACAACAGCACAATGGGAACTCGGGTTGTGGTCTCGAGACCCATACAGCACTCGGCTGCGTCTCGTGCTGTATGAGTCTCTCGACCACACCCCTCTTTCCCATAAATCACGTATAGAACTCTAAACGCACATTATCTCTTACTTATAAGGGGCGTGTCCCCTTTCACAGAGATATACGTAGTAGTAGTATAAAAAATGAGTGGAGACAAGTAAATTAATATTCCTGCAGATTTAGAAAAAGAGGCATATGGGGATGGTATAAAAAGGAAGAGAGACAAGATAGGGATGGGATACATGAAGCATGGTTAATGAACAGAAACAAGAAAATACAAACATGTCATACTACGGAGTAACCAAGAGTACAAGTGGAGTGGCACAGCAGGCAACAATATAGGGATTGATGCCTTTTTTTAAATCCGCAGGATTTTTAATTTACTTGTATTACTAAGGCATGCCTAAGCAAATCTTTTTTCTAGACATCATTTTGAAATCTGCCTCTGATGCTTGGTATGTTATCTATAAGGCACTTGCCTAATGTCTTATAAATTTATTATGAATAAAGGCAAAGCATTAAACTCTTACCAACAAAATTTTATTATGCTAAATGTTACAGTTAAAATGTATGTTCCCTTATTAGCCATGGGCCTCCTGTCCCCATTACTTAATGGTTGAAAATATTGTGTAGTACATTGATAAATTCATCTAGAAATTGTTTGTAATAAGGTGTGGGCAAATCTAGCTTTTGAACAAGGTCTGACGCAAAAACATTGGTTTAATGACTGAGGATGCATCCTATATTGTGTTATCAGGAATTGTATTGATGGTTTTGTTTATAGGATGGTATAGAACCAATGTGGGAAGATGTGAGAAATAAAAGTGGTGGGCGCTGGCTTTTCAATCTTGATAAAAGGGAGAGAAGAGACATTTTGGATTCCTGCTGGTTAGAAACAGTAAGTATAATATATGTATGCTATTGCTGACCTTCAATGTTACTAGGAGTAAATTATGTTCACAAAGCGGGATAGGAAGCTGTCCTTATCAGTAACACCTGTTTTTGACATGGGTTGAGTGAGTGAATAATGGTAGGGAGGCAATATGGGGGTGGGACACATGAAGCATTGTGAACGAACAGATCTGAGCATGTTGACACCCCAACCCCCATCACACAATATTGTCGCCTTGTGTGCCACTCTGAATAAACTCTGTAACAGTGTTTGTTACCCCGTAAAATGACACTTTTCCACTCTGTTACTGTAGGCAAGCTGTAGGTCCTGACGTACTGTAATGGTGAACTTCACCTGGGCAACAATATAGGGATCGTGTGTAGTGGTGGTGTTTGACTATTTATACACAGAGTCTCTTGGGTTTTCGAAATGTGCATTTTCCTACTTATTTACATGGCAAATGTACATTTAAATTCGCAGATTTTTTAAATTTACTTGTCTCCTCTCATCTACATATAACGTACTACATGTCAGTACGGCATTAAAAAAAGTAAACAAAGTACCTCTATAGGAACCACGGAAATACCTACAAGGTAAAGGTACCATGGACATACCCATGAGGTACCATGGAAGTACCCATGAAGTACCCCTGACGTAACGGCGAAGTAGCTAGGAAGTACCCTCGAAGTTTGCGAAGGTACCACAACGAAAGTATACCGTGCTCGAGGGGTCAGCGGCTCTGCAGATCGGTAGCTATGAACCCTAAAGTACACAGAGAAGCGGTGGGTTTATTCACTTTACAACTGTCACTGCGTAGCGTGGAGCGCCGCGGCAAAGTCTATAGCTAACTAGCCGAGGGCTACAATACACAGAGAAGCAAAGTTACTCGAGCACACTCGAGTCGCGCTCCGCCGCACGTGTTTCACTTTTGGCACCTCTTTGCTGGGGACTCGCCTACGCTTGTGCATGCTACTATGTATATCTCTGTATAATGGGGCAAGCAACACACATTTTTCTATAATATTAATTGTAATTGGGGGCTGCCCCTAGAAAAATGTGTGTTGTTTTTTTACATACATGTGGTTATCATAGAATATGCACTGCGTAACAAGTTTCATCTCCATTCATGCTACGCGTAGCGAAAAGCGCCTGAGGCTATTTGCATTCAAATGATCTAATGCACATACCAAGTTTCTTCTCCATGTCAGGAATAAAGAAACACTCTTTTGTTTTTGTTCAAAAATGACGCAGTATGCATCCTTACCAAGTTTCATTTTCATGCATGCCAGGGGTTCATTTGGGGGGTGCAAGGTCAAGCCCCCCCCTCCATACTTCAACAATTTATTCAATTGAGCTGGGGACTCGATCGCAATTTTCATCGGTTTAGAGAGGCTTTTGTCATTCAGGCTGCTTCGCAGGCGAGTCTTTATTAGCTTCATCTGGGAAAATCTTCTTTCTACTGATACAGTTGTGTCAGGGATTGAGAGGCTGATCGTAGCTGTAGTGTTAGTGACTGTCATTGTATAACCGTGCACATGCGTCGGAGATTGAATCACACTGCGCATGTCACTTACTTAAGTTGGGAAGCAATGTCTTCATCATTTCATTGGAAACAAGCTCTTTCAACTGCAAGTTCATGCTACTTTCTGGCTTCTTTACTAACAGCTGGCAGTATATATGTTTTCCATTCTGTGGTAATGTCAGAAGTAATGAAAGCTTCCCTGTTCGTTGGCTCTCCAAGCAATGTCTCAACAGGTTTTGCTGCTCCATAGTGTGCCAATAGTGTACTGATTGCTTGTTCACCGTACTGAGCCGTGCATTTTCCTACTTAGGTAGGTCAGGTACGTAAGTCTACTTTTTGTGCTTTCCAGAGATCAATGCCGACACCATATCACTTGAAGAAGTAAAACGGCTGGAAATATTCTCTTTCAAGTGTGCAATAAATGGCTTAGCTCCTTGTTCTTGAAAAGTCGTGATATCAGCCAGTGTAACTTTGATCCCTGCTGCTTCCTCCTGCAGGTTACTCTCATCTTGCAGTTCGAGCACCTAGTTAGCTGATGGCAAAACAGTGTCATCAAGTGTGTAGAGAGAGGCATAAACTAGACTTGATATCATAGACAAGTCCAGATGCTCTGTCTGGAGTGTCCTGCTCAGTTTCCTCACCTGGGGGATAATGTAGTCAAGTATGTAACGATGTATATGGCTGCAACTGTGGACTGCTTGCTAAGAGCTTTGCTAAGACCTATCGTTGAGGGCAGTGACGATAGATCTATAACTTGCTTTGATAGCTTTCAAACATCTCTCATGTGCCGCCAGAGGGTTTGTGGGCAATCTTCAACTCTGGTAGTTGAAGCAGTTGTTGGACCGTTTTGAGGGACTCTGCTCTCTGGAGAATAATGGACGAACTTCCATAGAGCTGTCAAGGTAACATACGCAAGGTTTAATTCCATTTGTGGAATTACCAGCCTTAACACACGCCAACAGAAGCAAATGACAATGACAGTGCACAAAGAAAGCATGTGGCGCTATCATTTTGATTCTTGTTTGGATTCCGGTTTTCTTCCCTGATATTGTGCTGGGCTGATAGAGCTTTGCCCCTTTATTTCACATCTACTCATTTTCCTCCCCTTGGATCGATTTGTAAATGAACCCCTGCATGCTACAGTTAGCAAGTTTGAGGAGCATCAATAAAAAACAAAAAACAAAAACAAATAGCCTCAGGTAATATTCTCTAAAATTACTTCTTCACTCCTCATCAGCAGATGAAACTTGATACGCATGCAAATTAGATGACAACTTCATCTTTCAATGAGACTACATATTTGTAAACAACAAGTAGCCTCGAGTCAGGTGCTTCAAATATTCTCAGGCACTTTTCTCTAATTTACTCAAAATTGTTACCAGTGGCACACATTGAGACAAAACTTGGTGTTTATGTGTATTACTTCATTCTCACGATGAACGCATGTTTGTAAGCAACAACGGGCATTTTTTCTAATAGGGGGCTTGCCCCCTTTACAGAGATATACATAGTTGTATAAGTATATTAAAAATCCTGCGAATGTAGTTGCTTAAACTGTGGTATGTAAGAGGCTGGCAGCCAGGCAGGCAGGCAGGCAAGACAGTGCCACTTTTAAACCCAATTCTTTGTAACGGTTTTGGTAACTCAGTAGCATCACTGTTCAAAGTATATGTCCTTCCTATTGTAATGGTTAACTGTGCTTCATTGCTCCTATACCTACAGACATGCTGAATAGCATTGCGACTGGGAGAATGGGTTGGCCTGGCCCCTTGACCGCACCTTTGCCTCTGCCCCCAGGGGTTTCCCCTTCTGACACACCCCTTTTTTCGGCACCCGCTGCACCGATATTCTATTGAGGGGGCGAGGCGTGGTCTTTGCCACGCCCTACGCCAACCCGTCATGCTAACTGACCATCTAAGTCAGCAGAGGCAACAATACTCATAGGCCTCTTTGGCCCTACCCACAAGAGGGAAAAACAAACCAAAAACCAACAAAAAAAAAGATTTTCACTCAGCTGGGTTCTCGCCACCTCTCAACTGCTGGCCACGTGTAGGAGTAGCCTGGTGCGCATGCGTGTGCCGCATGCGTCCCTCCCACATTCTGCCACTCTTCGCCAGTTAACTTGGTTTAATAGGTTATTAAACCCTATTTAACTGTGCTTCATTGCTCCTATACCTACATACATGCTGAATAGCATTGCGACTGGGAGAATGGGTTGGCCTGGCCCCTTGACTGCACCTTTGCCTCTGCCCCCAGGGGTTTCTCCTTCTGACACACCCCTTTTTTCGGCACCCGCTGCACCGATATTCTATTGAGGGGGCGAGGCGTGGTCTTTGCCATGCCCTACACCCAGGACACCGTCTCCCCCAAGCCAACTCCCAGCCCCCAGTCCCGCATTAACTATCTACGCTCAGCCCACTCTTCCTCCCCCCCTCCCCACCGAAGGGGAAATTCTGACAACATACATAAAGTGAAATTGGGAAGGACATACAGTATACGGCCATGAGGACTAAGACACAGGCTTTGATGTGATGCGTGCTAGGGGAATGTCTTAGGACCCGTGACAACGACCTAGGCACCAGTTGTCTAGACTTCTGCTCCCGCCAGACACTTGCTGATCTCCGACAGTTGAGGATCCGGGATCCGAATGTATAACTGGTAAGCTTGGCTCCTCCATCTCTCTAGCGTTTTAATGACATCAACTGGAACGCCGCACATTGCCGCTGTCGTGGCCGCTCCAACGCGGAAGCTGTGCCCCCCATATTTCTCTGGGTCCAGGCCAGCCCATGACAGTGCTCTCCTTAAGCGGGATACCAGCTGCGCCCGCGTCAGAGGTCCGCCTCCTCAGGGGACCATCCTCCTTGCCCCGCATCACGAGGTAGGGAAAGAAGAGCGGCCACTGGGCAGAGTTGCTGACCAGTTTTACTGAGGCAGATTGTTATTCCCTTGCGAAACGGGTCTGTCTTTGACTGCTTTATCCGCAGGAATATTCGATTTGGATGCTTGGGGTCGTCCACTGGCACATCCCTGAAGGACAGGTGCTGGTTCAGGTCAAAGGCGCCTGAGACCAACTCTCCAGACCTGAAGAACCCGAAGAACCCAACACAACACACAGCCCACATCATAACTATGTCTGGGTCCGAAGCTTCCAAGGACCACACGTCCCGCAGCCGAGAGAGCACCCGTGGGGTGATCGGGAGGCGTGTGTGTTTTGCTGCGCCAGCCTGCTCCCGTTTTGCCCCCCGGAGAGCTAGCTCCAGTAGGGGCATGCTTTCCACCCTGGGATCCCCACCTCCGCACTCGATCTGAAGGTGACGGGTGGCCGACAGGTATGATTTCATTGTTTGATGTTTGAGGCCCTGGTTAGCTAGGAATGCAGTAAACTTCACTAGTTTTTGTTCTGTCGCTGGTAGAGGGGGGGTGTCAAAGGCTCGGCAGAAGGCCAGGTACTCCCTTTTACCCGAAGCATATACCCGTTGGGTGG